TCTGTTGTATGGAATCACCATCATCGATGTCAATGGTCACTCGTTCTATCTTCGTTTTAGGGGAATCTACAACAAATTGTATTATATTAGTATATCAATATCTTGAAATCGTAATTGCCAACATACCCGATGCGATACTTCTACTGAAAAACAGTATACACTTGTTCCGCTAGATGAGGTCTTTTTATTAGCAAAACAAAAGTTTATGGAAAAGTAACTACAATTTCAGCATAGTGCTGAAAATATCACCCCACCCCACCCGGCGACACATTTGTGCTATGAAACTGGAAGACACAAAAGTATTGACATTTCAAAAATAAAATGTCAGTTTTGTCAATTAAATTAATTAGAAATGCGGCCTTTATAAAAAAGAATTAAATTACCTTCTCAACATTTTGATGCTAATTTTGATTCCCAAACTTTCTGACAACAAAAAAATGGTTGCAATACTAAACAATGGTAGTATAAAAATGGTTCATCAAATTACTGAGTACATCCATGATTGTTTTAATATTCGAGAGAGCAACTTAAAAAGAATACTACCAACTGTCTAAAAATCAATGAAAACATTACTTTAATTTATTATATTTTATTGATAACTTTATTTTATTCTCTTTTAATTTTATTTTATTTTTTCATTTCTATACCTTTATTGTATTTTATAATCAAAGTCCCATAGAGGATGCAATAACAATTAATATTATTACTATTACACGAATCCCAGCGGCACACAAGTATAGCGCTGGGGACTAACACGACCCGACGGAACGCTGATATAGCGACGTTACAAAGCATGGTGTGTGACGTGATTGTCCTCAGATGTGCTTTAGGTTTAACGGTTTTTAGATTATTCTTCACGTTGAACTGTTTCGTTAATTTTAAGTAAGCGTTTCACAGTATTTGGGGAAAGGGTATTTTATACAAGTTACAAACAATTGGAGTTAAAGTTATATTTTATTCAACTAGTGAAAGTTTGTACAAATTATGTTATTAAAACAAGTGCGATTGTCACGAACTATTTTTATTCAGCTTGTAGGGTTAGACAGGGAGTCATATTTAACATTTTTGTAAATGACATTCCAGAAACTGTCAAACTGTTACAATTATATAATACATAAAATGCGGATGATTTTTTCACAACCTTTAATGGAGTACAACAAACCTACTTAGTCTAATAAATGGAGGTTACGTATAAATTATTATTATTATTATTATTATTATTATTATCAAATCTCTTTATTTAGAAAATGGTAGTATTGATGGGTCATTTGTTCAGACATTCACTGAAAAATAAAAAAATATCGATGGGGGGGGGCAGAACTTGAATATGAAATATATTTAGATACCAAGGGACAGTTCACCAAAAGAGAGTTTGGTCAAAACAAATTACCAAACGATGTTATTTTGGAGTGAAACAGTCACTTTTGAGTAAAATTACGTTTTGGGTTTAAATTGCGTCATTTCCGTAAGTATTTGGCCCAAAAACCTTACATTTTTAGTTTTTTATCCAGTCATTGGAAAGATTTTTTTCTGGAAAAGTGGACCCATATCTAAGAATTTTCGGGGGAAAATAACCAACGTACGCCATTGCTATGTACCTATGTTTCCCAGAGTACCTCCGGGGTTCAATGACACGTTTTTATTTTATACACTTAAGAAATCACTATCGAAATCTATTCTGACTCGTTATATTTCACTCATTTCCGACAAAGAACCAACGCAAAATGTGGAGTCGACGAGACGAACATGTAGTTCTCTATAAAAGTGAATCTTACTGTAGGTGTAGTTCTCTATAAAAGTGAATCTTACTGTAGGTGTAGTTCTCTATAAAAGTGAATCTTACTGTAGGTGTAGTTCTCTATAAAAGGGAAAAGTACTGAGATTATAGTTTTCTTTATATGAATAGTACTGCACATGTAGTTCTCTATAATAGTGAATCGTCCTGCTCTGTTTCTCCTATAGATGCTATCATTGACTTCTGTCCTATAGTGTTTGAGATAAGAAATTATTACATCTTTAATTTGTCTCCTGTTTCGTACAATGTGGCGAAAATGTAGTTTTAAGGGTGAAACTGTTATTACTGACAACCACGGAGTCCTATAACTACTGGGTATAAATCGCCTATAGGGCAAAGAGGGTTAACATCATATACTAATGAAGAAGACCCTTTTCAATCTTACAAGTTGACTTCCTTGCTAGCGGCGTCGGTAGTCTTTGTCTCATTTGCCAAGATCCGATGTCTTAATTAGTAAGGTCGAGATTCTAAACCAATTCCCAGTGGTGTTATCCATACTGTGTAATAGCCCAAGGTGTCGCATCGCACACAGATCAATATACACTTTTGCGGCTATAAAGAATACATTTACAATTAAGGACGGGTTAGTAGTGAGAAATATTCGAGATAGGGATTAATGAAGCGTTTCTGTATTCAGTGACCATTTATGGCCACCACTTGGGTTTGCTAATTACGGAGACTTGTCTCAAATCAATGAAGTACAATTTTACTAAAACCAAATAAACGGGCACATGCAAAACTTTCAGAATCGCATCAATTTGTAACCATTTATAATTTTACAAAATATTAAAATGATACATATTATTAATCCATTATTATTCCGAATACTCACATATCTAAGAATTTTTTCTATTCAATGTCTCTGTTATACTACTGTCATACTACGAACTTTTCTATTTTGTATCTTACAAAGTCGGAGCCTTTTTGTCCACTCAATGCATGCGACGGTGGTTGTTCACGAAGCAATTGCTGTGCCATTGATTAATCGATTATTGTTGTACGGTTTGGGGTAACCTCCACATTTATAAATTTAAAAATAAAAAACATTCCATTGGTTTATTGCATTGAATTTGTACGGCTGTTATGACTTACAAATTCGTGAATAATCTTGCCCAGCATATTTAAACAAAATATTATGTTACACCAATGAATACATACTCGACTAGCCGATGGAAACAATTCATATATTTTCAAGTTCAAATGTACATCGAATAAGAAAATGTTCATGTTCATCAGAAATTCTCGTGTTCATGTGAGAATGTCGTAAATTCGTACATGATAAATACCACATATATAAGTATGTTACGTTAACAATAACCGGTCGTATAAGTATGTGTAGATATTATTCATATGCATGTAAAAGGAGTATCGTAGGTCTCTGTGATACAAACTACACAGTAATATATATAAATATAATTATATATTTTTAAATATAAGATCTAGCTCTCTGTGTAGTTTGAAAACGTTATACCTGAAGACATTTTGGGCGTTCGTGTTTCAATACCTTACTTGCTGGAGTTGTAAGCTAAAAGTTTCGAACTATTTCGAATAGGAATATACGCATTTTTTAAGGTACAATGGGTAGTGTTACTAACAGTGTCTTCTATTTGTGAATGGTTGGGGTAACACTATGTCAACAAATAATTAACAGCAACTCATCAAAATAGATTTTTAAGCGATTGTCCCACGTGTCTGCCAAATACCAGTAATGGGCACATTGTTAGCCTGACACTTTTTTTTTCCTATGCTAAAAATGCTGAACATAATTTTCAATATTACCAGACACTCGGGCCAGCAAAACAATATCAAGCAAGAAAAATGAATTCTCTATTTGACTTTATGGCATTCAGCTAAACGAGAACATGTGACTTCCGATTCGCAATGTTTGTCTCACGCATCGGTTGGTAGCATTGTACCCGTGTAAGCAGAGCCGATAAATATTATTGATGCTTTACCCAAGTGGATAAAGAACGTAGTTTAATATCGCATACAATGAATCATACATAGAACAAAATCAAAAGCGACTAACACACACATAGACAACACGCGTATAGTAGGTGACTAAGAAACACGCGGCAGACCTAAACATTTTTGCAACAGTAACAAATTGTAATAGTATTTGTTATGACCTTGCCTGGGTACGGAATTGCGCAGTATGTATGACATCAGATGACATTTGGTTACGGTTCAATTGAGTCAAGAAACGCAATTTGTACAAGCCTGTTAACAGACAACACTATGTAACATCGCTGCGTGAACACGCCGAATGGAGACATATAAGCGGGTATGTCAGTCCGCTCCACCACGTCACTATGTGTGTACCCATGGAGACATATAAGCGGGTATGTCAGTCCGCTCCACCATGTCACTCTGTGTGTGTACCCATGAAGACATATAAGCGGGTATGTCAGTCTGCACCACCACGTCACTATGTGTGTACCCATGGAGACATATAAGAGGGTATGTCAGTCCGCACCACCATGTCACTATGTGTGTACACCCATGGAGACATATAAGCGGGTACGTCAGTCAGCACCACCATGTCACTATGTGTGTACACCCATGGAGACATATAAGCGGGCATGTCAGTCTGCTCCACCACGTCAATATGTGTGTACACCCATGGAGACATATAAGCGGGCATGTCAGTCTGCACCACCATGTCACTATGTGTGTACACCCATGGAGACATATATGCGGGTATGTCAGTCTGCTCCACCACGTCACTATGTGTGTACACCCATGGAGACATATAAGAGGGTATGTCAGTCCGCTCCACCACGTCACTATGTGTGTACACCCATGGAGACATATAAGCGGGCATGTCAGTCTGCACCACCATGTCACTATGTATGTACACCCATGGAGACATATAAGCGGGTATGTCAGTCTGCTCCACCACGTCAATATGTGTGTACAGCCATGGAGACATATAAGCGGGCATGTCAGTCTGCACCACCATGTCACTATGTGTGTACACCCATGGAGACATATAAGCGGGTATGTCAGTCTGCTCCACCACGTCACTATGTGTGTACACCCATGGAGACATATAAGAGGGTATGTCAGTCCGCTCCACCACGTCACTATGTGTGTACACCCATGGAGACATATAAGCGGGTACGTCAGTCAGCACCACCATGTCACTATGTGTGTACACCCATGAAGACATATAAGCGGGTATGTTAGTATGCTTCACTACATCGCTAAGTGTTCTTCCGAGGCAAAGGAAAATATAATATAATTTTTTCTCCAAATAAACAATTAGTTTTTTTTACTACTTGAAGATAAATTACTCTTTTTTATGGGCGATGGATAGAAATAAACCTAGAAATATGATTACTGAACCGATAGTCTTTGTAAATTAATGAATATGGGCGTTATGCTTGGTTGAAAGGGAAACACGGTGATAATTAAAGGTCTGAATAGTAACACTAAAGACGATACAAATATTAGTTTTATTACTTTGTTCAATAAATTTATGAGTTACTACATCGTCCCACAGAAAGTAATTAAAATTAGTATTAATGATTAAGTCTGGACCGCTTACAGTCGCGCGCAGTGTGTTAATTTCCGGGACTAAATGTGTATTAGCGTTTCTTACGTGTATATTTCACACAGTGGTGACTTGTAAAATATACCTTGTATTCTGTTGGCAATGTACTATTATTAATTTGGTGAAATCTTACACAGTGCACATGTGTCAAATTATTCAGTTAACGCAGTCAATTCGAGTGGATCTATCTTAGGACAAGGCGAAGGCACCCATGTGTGACATAGTGGGTAACATAATAAAACTGTTGGTCGTGTGACAACAGTCATAATTTAGAACTATAATGAAATTGGTGTTCCGTAACGTGTTGATTATATTGCACACTACAATACATCGACGTGAATGTTATTTATGGAGTAAAATTTGTATTTGTACATGAACTAGTAAATAAGTCTCAATAATATATATAAGTATTGTTAGTATGCGTACATACAACTAATATATATGTCTTATTCGTAGTGTTTCGTTGGTTTGTGTATATATTACAAGTATATAATGTATTTAGACATAAACTACTCTGTCAAGACAAGCTAAGGATACACTCAAACAGTAACAAACGTGTAATATATACATAAATTATATATCAGACATTTTTGTAAATTCAAAACCAGTAAGTTTGGACGATGTACAGTGTGGTATGTATACTTTTTTTGTGGATGATATACGTATAATATCGAATTGAAAAAAAGGTAACAGAATCATTTAAACAATTTCATTGATTATTGTGATAAATGGGAACTGAAAAATGTAAGTTATACGAATGATATTCTACTCACAGGTGAACATATTAGTAATGATTGTTCTCTGGTTATTTACAAAATTTCAGTTGTAAACTTATTTATGTTTAAATAATTTCGCTTTAGCAATTGGTAATTTAGTTAAGAAACGTCTATGTATCAAAGTGTGCTTCTAAATTGCATCCCGTCTATATGATAAAACTATCCTATATATGGTGCATATGTATGGAAGAACTGTTACTTTCAAATTATCAAACACACATGAAAGAACTGTTCTATACCATGCTATTTAATTCAGTCAAATTATGTGGCACTGAAGTATTTGTCATATAATTAAAAGCACGGCTAGAAAATACATTTATGAAATATAGATCGTTTTAAAACCAGGAAAAAAACGTTCCGAATTTAAGCACACGCAATATCAAGATACCAAACTCGAAAGGAGAGACGATGACATTTCTGTGACAACCAATCAGTTGGCAATAAAGTCAATGCTGCATTACAATGTCAGTGAGCTAAAGTAAACGAGTTTTTTCCATGAGAGAAATCCTAGTAAATTGTTTGTTTTTGTTGACGTTGTACCTTATAACATTTGGTGTAAAATAAAATATCTATTTATAAGTCTTACCCGTGGAGTATGAGACAAAATATGTATGTCTTACCCGTGTAATCTGCCATGTAACCGTCTCTATCATCTTCAATTATCACAATGTCCGTCATATTCTCCTGGTCTCGGCTAACGTCATCTAAATCTACATGCTCGGTATGAGAGATAACTTCATGTTTGTCCAGGTGTAATTTGTCATCAGCCGCTTCATTTCTTTCTTTCGAAGATTCATTGGTTTGGTTATCAGTCGCTGGCCGGTGACTGTCGTTGTCTGATCTGTGTTTGTCTTTCTCACTCTTTCCTGAGTTGTTGAACGATTTAGAAACGAAGGCTGTGAGTTCTTCCATGTTTTCTGATTTTACTAAATTTAAACTTTGAAGCTATGTTTTTTTCTAATTCAAACGTGTTTCCATTGCATTGCTATTGCTATCTTGTGAGAGGATAAAACGAGAGTTTGTGTTAACTGTCTCTTTCTCTTGTCTCCAAATAATATCACCCGTTTCTTTAGCGCAGCGTCGTTGGTTTGTGAGATTGAACGTAATATTTGTCCCGTGTTTTATATTTAGTAGATGTAGAATTAGCAACGTTCCGGTTGAATGCGGCGTCAATGTTTAGCGGGAGATATGTAATGTTTGGTCACGGTAGGTTAAGTGCTGGCTCCTGTACACAGTATGACGGGGTCACTCGATGCGTTACAACTTAAGGTACATAGATAGTTTAAATATCTAACCTCTGACAGGCTGGGTGCAATATCATTCAACTTTCGAACGAGAAGAGAATTATTTGAATGAAACAACAATTTGTTAGTATTTACTTTTTACATGGCAATGTTCTTCCCAATCTGCCTACCGGAGCCATATGCATATGGTGCAGGTTGAAAAAAGAATTGTAGCAAGCCTTTGTTCGGTGATGTTCGTAGTTGTTTAATAGATAACTCCCTTATATCTGGATATGCACACGTTACAAGATTCAGTGGTGGAGTGATGCTCGACGGCGTGCACGTAGTGGTGGAGGTGCCTTGGGTTAACACGACTCGCTGTAGCCGACTTCGCTGATAAAATGGACGACTTATTCAATTCATAGGATTATACGGTCAATAAGGCAGCATTTTAGGACAGAATTGACAGCTGTCCCACTCTCAAAAATAATGAAATTACTCTTAACTTCTCTTATCAAGACCTAGCTCCCGATAAAAGACCCCTTAAGTATGTAATCATTCTTAAATCCTACTACTGATTAGAGATTTGGTGATCGTATTGTATTATTGGAGCCCTTAATAGAAGACCTACTGCTGAGGGGCGTGTTATACTCAGGCTATACATACTATCTTTGGCTTACGGAGTGAGATTTGAAACGGAATTCATGTCTTTAAAGTTACGAGACAAACAGTGTATACACATTTAATACAATGTGTACAAATCATGTAATGAACAATACCCCGGGTATACTAAATGTCTTCTAATGCAATGATTACTTTCTGCTCAATGTATTCATTCATTCATTCATTTATTTGTAAGTCAAATAAATGTACATATAGCCCAATTACAGTTCTGGAACCCATCTTTTACCAGTATATACATGAGAGAATGGAATCATTATCCCACGGTAAGTCCGCTGATATTTGCGATAAGGTTACCGTTATTTAACGTGCACTAAATGCAGGGTATGCACAAGGAACTAGAAGATGTTATCGGCCCCGTCCGATAGGACGCTTTCTCTCAAACCGCGTGTTTTGTGGCTTTTGAACTGCTGATTGTGTGTGCACTGATGTGCATGTGTAGTTGGCTGAGCATCGAACCCACTACCTTCCTGTTTTGAGTCGTACAAGATAACCGCTGCGCCACGCCTATAGCGGCATATATAGAGAGAGGCAGTCAATTAACGATGGGGATAGCCGCGATCAAGGCTGATGGTAGGATACGTTATGCCATGTTTCAAATAGAATATAAAAACCTGTTTCACAAATTGTAAATAAAATACGTTAAATTAACGAACCATAATGTTATTATCGTGTGCAAAAATCTGTCTCATCAAAGCACGGGATATTTGACACCAATTTGTGTAGGTGTACAATACTTACTGTCTCTGTGAAGATTCTAAATACACATTTCCTAAAATAATATATATTAATTATGTATGATTTCTATTTATCAACAATCCACTTTATTTTGACAATTAATTGGAACTTACTCCTCGTACATTCATTTAAAATTGTGCATTCTAAAAAAATGTAATTTAACTTCAAATTAAATAACGATTGATTTTCAATTTGAAATGCGATATCCAGTGAAAGTGAATTAAAATAGCGTTATCTGCAAGTGCCACCCGGTACTCATAGACACGTGACTATTAATTTATTTTATGGTACTTAATTTAACACTTTATATATCCCAGAAGCTGCAATCAAGACATTTCAAAAAATGTTGGTTTACAGATGAACTATGTATTTTACGTAGTGCATCGTCGCACGTAGCGTGAATATTAATGAAGTGTCCGCTGCGCGATCCGAGCGTAACACCCCAATATTAAAACACGGCTTATACGAAGCACAATGACTATTGTCAGAGCTTGTTTAATTCGCATTTCTTAGGGGGTCTTATGAGTAGTGATCGTTAGGTTGTCGGGCTTCGACTTATCGCTGCAGGGCACAATGTAGCAATACTACTACACGCTAATTAATTTGATCAGATTGAATTCGCAGCATACACACTAATTACTTATCAAAACATAACAACTGTTAACCTATCATAACCCATTCAATCCATGGGGCTGTACTTACCATATAAGGGTTACCATGACAACCCATACAATGTAACACTTCTCTGCATGTTCACACTATAATACTAAAAGAGGTCATATTTTCTAATTTTATGACAGAATTGTGCAACATATGCGAGTTCATATAATTCATATTTGCTTGTTTGTTAACATTGCTTTGCGATACCACTTTGCAATTTCTTGCATAGACCATTCAATTTATCTAGTTCGCCACATGCATCGACCAGGGAGTAAGGACATTAGTCCAGCAAATAATTACATATAGCAATTACATATGAAATGGTCAGTACTGAGATATAGCAATTACATATGAAATGGTCAGTATTGATATATAGCAATTACATATGAAATGGTCAGTATTGAAATATAGCAATTACATATGAAATGGTCAGTATTGAAATATAGTAATCACATATGAAATGGTCAGTACTGAGATATAGCAATTACGTATGAAATGGTCAGTACTAAAATATAGCAATTACATATGAAATGGTCAGTATTGAAATATAACAATTACATATGAAAA